GGGTGCGCAGAGAGAGAGGGAGACACAGAATCCAAAGCAGGTTCCAGGCTCTGAGCTGTCAGCACAGAGCCTGATGCGGGGGCTCGAACCCATGAACTGTGAGATCGTGACCTGAGCCGAAGCCGGACACTCAGCAGACTGAGCCACCCAGGCACCTCACTTAGCCAAATATTTTAAAGGCTGCCTAGGAACTTCTGCGAGAGACAGAGAGAGAGAGAGATTGAGAGAGATTGAGAGAGAAGGAGCTGACCCTGCAGACCAAAGCCTTCAGACAACGAGGTGACAGTGACATGAGGGCCCAGCGTTCTCCGCTCGGGACTGTTCAGGAAGAGCAGGAGGAATGCAAACTAAACCCCATCGTTATTTATTTCTTTGAATGTAACAAACCTTGTTAATTCAGACTCTACTGATCTTGGGTATTTCCTCCCAAAGTGGGTGGAACCTGCATTTCCCACGGCGCCCAAGGAAGACGTGTCAGCCAAAATGAGGAAAAGGGAGAAGTTACACTGGAGCTGTGTCTCCTTTAGCGGCTTTTCAGGCTTCTTCAGCAGGACCCACGGTGAGAAAGACATTTTACCTGAGGGCGCGCACACACACACACACACACACACACACACTTGTGGGCATCTACGCAGGACTAAAACAAAAGTTTTACAAACAATACCAACCCTTCCTAGGTATGAAGCCTCCTGCTATTTTCTATTGTATTTTATTTCATTAAAAAAAAAAAAAAAGATGCTGGTCACACCCACTCAAGTGATTTGATGATCTATTAATGGATTGCCAGCTGCGGTTTGAAAAACACCACCTCCCAGGTGCTGGGGCCTCGACACTTCTCACAGCTGCAGTGGGGGCCGGAGGACCGATTCCGCAGAAAATGCTTTTTGGTGAATGGATAATGAAGTTTGTCTGTCAATTTAGCACAGCATGGGCAAGGTACCCCTGAAAGTTAATAAGAAAACACTAGGTAACATCCCCCCAAAATACTGGGGCAAATGTGATTTTCACCCACCGCAGTTGATCGTGAACATCTGAAATTAAAACCACCCCTCCTAGCCCAGGAGAGCTGGGCCGGGCCTTTATCTCTAGGAATGACAGCAGCATTTGAACAACAACCCTGTGTCCTTCCCCTGGGCATCGTGGCCCCTCTCAGGGACATGTGAGCCACGTGGCCCCACGGGCACTGTCCTCCTTCGCAGCCCCCTCGGGGTAGGGCGGGCAGTCTTATTTCCGCTCTGCAAAAGGGGAAACCCAGGGCCGGGAGGCAAGGTGTCTTCCTAAGATTATACAGTCAGTCATGAGTTGAGTTCTGCTTTTTCGATTCCTGGTCTAGCATTCTCCTGCTCTAGTGAATTCCTTGCCGGTTCACCTTTCCTAGGGAACTCATCCCACAACATTTTGGGGGCCCTTTGGCAAGACAAGCCGGGGGCCTGACCCATGGCATCCTTCCCGCTTGGGTGTGAAGCCGTGTGTCGGGCCAAGGGCCCATTTGGAGGTGGACAATGGTAAGTCCTGGAAATGCATGTTTTA